GACGTGTTGGAGGCTTAAGGTTGAAGGAATTCAAGGTTAAATTAACAAGTCGTCACATGTTAAGTAGGTGTTGTCTCCTTTGATTAAATTATGATTTCCTACTTATCCTTGGGGGGTTTTTTTTATGAAATTTAGGGATAATATACCTCCATATTTATAACATCATATAAAACATATATTATTACATCGTGATCATGTCACTTCATGCCTTATGTCCCAAATATGACAATTACCTATCTAGGGTTTAAAGACCTCAATCAACCAAATGGAAAGCATGAACCTTCGTCGATACTAATTTCCAGCATTTTCGATATTACATTACTTACCAAGCCAATGCCAATGTAATTAGCATGAAATATGATTCACAATCGAATATACCATTTTAAGAGAAAGCAATTAGAAAATTGATGCAAATGTCAATGTAATTAGCATGAAATACATGAATCATATTGGCGAAATGTATAACGGGAAGTTTGGGGTATTACAGTTGCAAATGAAGATACAATCGTATAGATAAAATAAAAATTTTAAAACTAAAGCTAACAATAAAAGAAGTCGAAAGAATTTTTTAAAAAGTAAAAGAAATAAACTTTACCAAAAAATTTAAAACTAAGAAATTCGAAAAACAAATCCTCACGTTATATTAGTATTGTTCGGTAGAAAAGTGAACGAAGATTAAAGAACCTACAAGTAGGAGAACCACCAAACAAACATATTTTATTGATCGAAAAAATAGGAAGATTGTTACAATCCAATTCTTTTACTCAAAAATTAAAATTGACTAGTTAAGGTCAAAGTCAATTAAGGACTAAAATGAAATAAAATATTTTATTGGGGTTTGTTTTATAATTGGCTATTTGAGGGTTAATTTGGATACAATTCAAAGTGGGAAATTTACTTTTATATTAAGGGAAGTTAGAAGGATTAAATGTTATATTAAAATGAAGAAGAGGGACTTCCTTTGCAATTTTGAGTAGTGGGTCTTTATATTATTAGAATTGACCACTTTTCTCTCAAAAACACACACACACACACACACACACTAGAAAACAGGGATGCAGCTAGGAAGAGAAGAAGAATCGGGAAGAAAGGAAGGAAAAAAATAGAAGAAAGGGAAGAAACAAAGGGTAAGTTTGGATCTCTTCAAGCGCAAGTTGATCATAGATTGGAACATCTTATTAAACTTGTACAACTTAAACGAGCTAATTTGCTGAGCGTTTTATCTCATAATTGGAATTTGGGTTAACTTACCTTTGTTCATAGTAAAGTTCAGTGTAGTTTATACTCAATGGAACAAATATTGTTAGTCACTACCAGGTGAGCTTATGTATCGACCTTGGTATTCAAATGTAGTAAAAACTTATATTCGAATATTTATATGAATACGAGTGAAAATAAAGGGAAATGAAAATAAAATAAACTAACCCAACCTTTTAAAATGACATCATGCCGTTTTGGGTCATGGGTCTCAATTGTACTCCAAAACGAGTCGATATGAATCTTTTAACGTCTTAGAAAATGTAGACAAGTTAAACGAGTTAATCTTATCTCATAATTGAATTATAAAAAAGTTTTAATCTTCATTCGTAGTGAAGTCAAGCGTAATTTATTCACGGAACAATATTGTTGGTTATTAGCGAGTGAACTTTGTATCGACACTAGTGACCAAATGCAATTAAAACTTGCATTCATTTAGTTTCATGTGGATATGAGTTAAAATAAAGTGAAACGAACACAAAAATGATTAAAATCACACCTAGTCATTTAAAACAATAGCATATCATTTTGGGTCCTCGATTTTACTTCAAAACAAGTCGATCATATCTTAAAACATCTTGTAAGACTTATACAAGTTAAACGAACTAATTTATTAAATATCTTATCTCATAATTGGAATTTGATTGTTTACCTTCGTCTATCGTGATGTCTAGTGTAGTTTGCTGAGAGAACAATATTTTTGGTCACTATCAAGTGAATTTTTGTATCGACCTTAGTATCCAAATGTAGTAAAAACTTGCATTCATTCATTTTATATTGATATGAGTGAGTGAACATAAAGTGAAACGAACACAAAAATAGTTTTACGACACCCAACCGTTTAAAACGACATCATATCAGTTTGGGTCATGGGATCTTGATTTCACTCTGAAACAAATCGATCATATCTTGAAATATCTTTAGAAGATTTATACAAGTTAAGCGAGCTAGTTTGTTAAGGATCTTATCTCATAATTGGAATATAATGAAATTTTGGTTAAATACCTTCATTCTAGTTAAATTTATTGTAGCTTACTGACGAAACAATAGTATTGATCATAAATGCAACTCAAAACTCTAGTTCAAATGCAATAAAAACTTGTGTTCGTTCATTTTTATGTGCATATTATGTGCATACGAGTGAAAATAAATTGAAATGAATACAAAATTAGTTGAAGCAGTACCCCACTATTTAAAACGGCGACATAACATTTTGGGTTATGGAAACTCGTTTTTACTCTAAATATAGTGAAATTTTGTCTACATTCATTTTTATGTGAATACAAGAGAATAAAAGTGATACGAACTTGAAATTAGCTGAAACGACAATTAGTCATTTGAAAGGGTTGCTATCATTGGTTTTAAATAGGGTAAAGGCTAACTGACCAAAAAATATTGAATCTAGGCCATTTTTCCAAATATTCTAAGCTTTTTAAGCAAATTCCCCTTAATATTATTAGTAGAAAAATTGTGGAATTCCACAATACAATAGTAACTACTAAGTATTAAGCCCCCGTTTGGCCCCCATTAAATTACATTCTATTACATTCTAGTTTTCTCTTTCCTATTTTCAATCACATAACTTTCAATAAAATAATATTACACGTAAATAAAAAAAATTCCTTCTTTTTCAACCTCTTATTTTTCAAAAAAATACTATTCCTCCCATTTTTATTATCCAAAAATGGGGGTCAAACAGGGGCTAAGTTACTGAAAATTTAGAACAAGAAAAATGAAAACTGACTGACTAAGAGTTTATGAATTAAATGTAAAATGAGCAAATATTTGTGCGAATAATGAATTCAATGTGTAACTAAATAGAATATTTATATAGTAAAAATATGAACTTTATTATGCCTCTAGTTGCTAACCATTATTAAAGTAAATTAGAGTTTTCAATAGTAATTTTTTTAAGAATATGTAATTAAGAGTATCTAGCGGTGACAATTAGGCTCGTCGGCTCAAGGCCCTTTAGAATTGAGTCGAGGCTCAAGTCGAAGCCCCATTTTGGGTTGTCGAGTCGAGCCCTAGTCAGCCCATGTGGCTCACTGGCCTTTAAAGAAAAAAAAGGATGGGAAGGGCTTAATGAAGGCAGCACTCAACTGCCTTTTTTTAGGTAGCCGAGTGCTGCCTTTATTTATTAAAAAAATAAAGACAAAAAAAATTGAGTCTATCCGACTCGACTCCATAAGGCTCGAGCCTTGATTTTTTGGTCGAGTTTTTGTCCGGCTCGGCTCAGGCTCGTAAAAAGCTCGAACCGTTTTACTCGAGTCGAGCTCAAGCCTTGAGTTTTGACTAACGAGCCAACTTGGCTAGACTCGGCTCGTTAATACTAATAAGAGTATCTCTAAGAGACTCTTTATTTTTAAAGTGCATATTCTATCATAAAAAGTAAAAATTTTGAAGCACTCTAATATGCTTTTTATATTTGACATTTAATTTTACTACTCCCAAAAAATATTTATTATTTTTTTATCTTTTAATTTAACTAACTTTTCTCTATATTATTATATTATTTTTCTACGTTGAAAATTGAAATACTTTGAATGCATTTAATTATAAAGACCGAGTTTGGATCTCCAAATTTGAAAAGAGTCTCTTGAAATATGATTTTAAAAGTTGGCTTTTTAAAATAGAGAGTATCTCATATTTAAATAGTTTTTTAAAGATAGTCCAAAAAGTAGAGAAAAATTTTGAATTTACGTATAAAATATTAATTGTGCTGATGTATAATTGAAATGACTATATAGAAAAAGAGTTATGAAATAATGATTGTCAAAATTGAGTTAATGAGGTCAAAATTTTTTAAAATTTAATAGTAAAATTGCAAAAAGCAAATCGCCAAATTCCATAAATTTGCCTTCTTTATAGAGGTTAATGCTAAGTCCCATGTATTTAATAAGTCACCAATTAAATAGTGTGTCATATCACCGGTGCTTAACATAAGTTAAGCACCGGTGCTTAGGAAATCATTCTTATATATAATGGGCAAACCATTAACTTGCATAAACTGAGCCAAGTTGGTCTGGATCTATTTTTCAAACTAGGTTCACTAAACACATTTTGCCACGTTTGACACAAAATTGTGATACTAGTTTAGCCACCGTTTGGCCCACATTAAATTTAATTATATTACATTCAATTTCTCTCTCTCTCTCTCTCTCTCTCTCTCTCTCTCTCTCTCATTTTCAATCACACAATCTTTCATAAAATAATATTATACGTAAATCGAAATTTTTTCATTCTTTTTCAACCACTCATTTTTCCAAAAAAAAAATACTATTCCCTCCATTCTCATTTTCAGAAAATGGGGGCCAAACGGGAGCTTAATTTCTATTTTTATTTACTTTCGTTTCGTATGGTTTTATTTATGTAATTATCAAGTCATCCCTTCAATCAAATTTAAATATCACGTTCCATTCACGTGCCTTTTTGGGAATTCAGACCTCCACTGCTTAGATCATTGAAATGTGAAGGGTAGGGTAAAGGTACCAGGGTTGAAAGTTGAGTCGGATTGCCCATTACAAAAGCTGGAGACGTCCGCTGCAATATTTCTTGATCTCTTTTGCTCATTATATATTTATCCAGTCAAAAAGAGAGGACTAGTTTTGGCTATTCGATTTTCCTTTTTGTGTCGGGCTAGGCTGGACTGCCTGATAAATCAGTCCCCCAAGCCGAAGCCAATCCGTTTTGTCACCAAAGTAACAAAAGATATCTTTCTTTCCGGCAAACAGTTCCACTTATGACGGGAAAATGAATTTTTTAAGAATAGGACTCAAACAGGGGCGTAATTCAAGACTTTCACTACTCTACCATGCGTTATAATCTCCTTTTTTTTTTCTTTTTTTTTAAACATATATTGTAATGTCATCTAGCTCCCAGCCATGCTCTTAAGGACAACTAATGAATTATAATTATACAACCATTGTGGTATAATTCACACGACATACAACAATCAATCTCGTCCATCACAACAGGCAGCACAACCTAAACATGCCAAGGCACCGCACAGCTGCGTTAGTGCAATTGAGCACTGGTCGTTCATCCGTGAACAACATTGAATACAGCACATGCAACAGCAGCGCCCAAAAAGCTTTCCACAACAATTTGAAGCTGCCTTCACGAAAATCTCTCCAGCATCAGGAGGACCTTTTTCTTCGTATCCCGGACGACTGTTCTCGACAGTAGCATTTAAATTGCCAAAACCAATTCCCAGCTTATACACCCTTATTATCTTTTGAGGTTTAGAATCTTCTGTCCTATGAGAATCTGCTTTGCCCGAAAACTACATTCATGCAGCCTTAATTAAAAAACAGGGCACCTAAATTGTCTTTCAACAAAGCAAATGGCCAGAGCAGAATTTGAATCTTACCACAACATACCAACCATCTATGTCCAGTAACTATTTCCATGTACGCTGTTTTTGCGTGCCATTTTTTTATTTTTTTTTATCTTTTTCACAATCATGCTTAGCGTACAACTATGGATTATCACTTTGTTTACAAAATCCCACTGGCATTCTTCCATTGGACAGTTTCAACAAAAAGTTGTTTTTGCAGCCAATAGTTTTTTGCCAACACGCTAATTGTCAAGCAAGTTGTCATCCATGATTGTAAAAAAAGCATTATCCCTTCTTTTTTTTAGCACATAGGTCTTGGGAAAATTTGGGTTTCATAAGTAAGTTCATTATTCATTATATCGTTCTGTTCTTATATTCTCCTACAGTTGCATTGACATTCTGAGGCAACTTTCTCTATTTAGCAGTTCATTATGCATTCAGAGAGATTAGGATATCAAAGATTATTTGAAGAGATTCTTCCCTTAATAAATGAGAATTTGCATTTTTCTAATGAAAATACATATACCTGTTGGGCACTGGTTGATTCACTGCCTTTTCGCACTCTCTCGGTCTCAAGCAAGATCATGTGTGCATATTCAGAAACAACTGAATTTCGCACACTCATTTTTGCAATCTGCAAACATCAGAACAAAAAAGCTAATCAATTGGCTTTGTTCTCTCTCGTTAAAAATGTTTTCATATAAATGAAATAAGGATCAGGATGGTGAAATTTTCCTTTCCCGCAAAGAAAATTCTAAGACAGGAAAATGAAAGTTAGACAACAGAATTTGTACATTCTAAACTAGCAGTTTTTACGCAACAATTCATTTATAAAAAACATATGACAGCAGTGAAGAGTTTTTGTTGGCATGGTTTAAAAATCCGGGAACAGTTTTCTGTTTTAAATTTTAATTCTAGTGTTTTCCTCCCATCATGGGTATTTTGGATATTGCAGGTCTAAAATTTGTCCCATGATAAAAAATGTACAAGAGAAATAGAGTGAGTCAGGAAAAACCTTCTCTTCAAGCTCCTTATTTTCTGAATACCAAGCCTGAGCTGTAAGTAGTTCTATCTGTTGTTTTGCGAGTATCTGCACTCAATATGAATTAATAAAGAGAAAATAAATAAATCATTACATGAGACATACATGTTATATGAACAGAAATGAAAAAAGAATCGACTAAATATCACACCAATGAAGTCACTTGATAGAAAAATAACTTCACTGCTCAAAATTTAAGACACTGGAAAGGAAAAAAAAAATGCCAAACCAACAAGTTTAATTACTTCGTACCAAAAAAGTAGGGAATTCACAGGATTTTCAAGTAGAAAGCAAATGAAGAATTTTGTATGTGAACACCAGCTAATGCGACACCGTATTTCACATCAAATTACTCAAATAACTCACCTTGTCTATAGGTATGTCCTTTGCCACTTGTACTCTCAGGTCCAGAGAAAAATTGCTTATATCTCCAAGGATGCCCTTGACTTTAAGGGTCTCAGGAAAACTTCCCCGGTACCTGCCTGATATAATTAATGGGCTTTCAAATGACAGGTCTGGAATTCGAGAAGGAAACACCTACATGAAGATCAAAATAACTCTCTGTTACATATGAGAAGTATAAAATATTCAGAAAACAATACTAACGGAATATAGTCCCTATAAACACAAAAGGTATAAAAGTTAAGACTGCAGCAAACGTTGTAACAGATTCCAAACAACAGCGAGCTCATGTTAAACAACATGTGCGACATGCTATCCCTAAAACTTCAGCATCTTTTGCAATTCATTTATGAAACATATATTGAGAGGTTAGGAGTAAAATAGTCAAGTATATGTGATACTGATACTGACAGAAGATGATTTACTAGATTCACTAAAGTTTGTTGTCACCCATGAAGCAAGTGGATTTCCAAAATTCATCACATTAAATTTAATGTAAAGCAAACAGACGAAAAGTACCTCAAAGTCATCAAGGTTATCCAGACCCTCAAAGGTAATATTAGCTAGAAAGATAGAGGTGGCTGTAGCAAATAGTCGTCCAATTTGAGCCTCAATTGAATCTGGCCAAAACCAAAAGAAATTAGAAGCAGATGTTGCTTCATACATTCCAAGAGACAACAGACAAGGGAGTTCAGAAATGACAAAATTCTTACTAGATGGAAAAAACAATAATAAACATTGATTGAATTAGAATCAGAAAGGAAAAAATAACTCCCAAAAGGACAAGACTAGATATCTAACCAAGCTCTTTGTATAATTTTTATCAACTTTTTTCACAAGGCATCGTAAGATTCTAGAATTTGGACACAGGGCTGTAATAAGACCTCAAACCTGTGTATTTGGTTTTATGATGACTCTGCAATCGTATATGAAGATTTAGATTTATTTAGTAGATCACATTGTTTTGTAAAAGAAGAAAGGCAAATTAGATATTTTGTAATTGATCTTAAACTGAAACTCATACATTGTAAAGATGCTATGAACTCCATTATTTAGGATTCATTATATTAGAGTTTTCACCTTAAGTTTCTTTATATTCCCTGGGTTTAAAAATAGAAAGGACACAGAAAATATATTTTTAGTTATTTCATCCATAGGCCTTAAGTTAGGATTTCCATAGCCATTATAGTGTAATTCAGAGTCTTAAATCGTCTAGAACTAGTGACATAGAACACAATTGACCAAGAACGAGATTGAGAGAGGAAAAGGAACACAAATGCACCCGATTTTTCCATAGGGTCGCGAATTCCAATAGGCGCAACAATTCTATCAATATGTTGAAGGTAGATGGCGTTACTTACGAGGATCCGAAGGATATCGGGACACAGATGGTAAGCTTCTATCAGAATCTTTATCATGAGCAGTTTGACTAGAGGCCAGAGTTGGAAGGGCTAGAGTTTTCTTCTATTATTGAGGAGGATGCCAATTGGTTAGAGAGGCCATTTGGGGAGGATGAAAGGTGGTGTTCAGCTTGAATGATGATAAGGCATCAGGACCGGACGAATTTTCGTTCTCATTCTATAAGACTTGTTGGGAAGTGGTGCGATCGGACATTGTTGATGTTCTTACTTATTTCTTTCAATGTGGAAGATTATTGAGAAGTGTCAATGCTACATTTATTGTGCTGATTCCAAAGAAATCGGGAGCAACAGATATTAAAGACTTTCGTCCCATTAGCCTCGTGAGCGGAGTATACAAGATTATCACGAAAGTTTTAGCAAATAGATTAAAGGAGGTGCTGGGAAAAGTGGTGTCTAAGTTTCAAAATGCTTTTGTTAATGGGCGCTAGATTTTGGATTTAGTACTTATAGGAAATGAATGCATTAACTCATGACTGCGTCTAGGTGTTCCAGAAATGCTATGCAAGCTTGACATTCAGAAAGCTTATGACCACATCAATTGGGGATTTCTCTTGTATATGCTCAGGCGATGTGGTTTTGGGGATAAGTGGTATCAGTGGATTCAGTTTTGTATTTCCACAGTTTCCTTTTCAGTTATGGTGAACGGCATTCCGGTGCTTTATTTTCATAGCAGCAGAGGATTGAGGCAAGGGGATCCTTTATCCCCATTGTTATTTGTCATTGTAATGAAAGCTTTCAGTAGGATGCTTGAGAAGGCTGTAGTGGAAGTTTACCGAGGGGCGTTATGGTTGAGCAGTTGCAAGTATCTCATTTGCTCTTCGCAAACGACACATTGATTTTTTGTGATGCAGACGTAGAGCAAGTTCGAAACTTGCAGGGTTTGCTCCTGTGTTATGAAGCTGTATCTGGATTGAAAATAAATCTCGGGAAATCTGAAGCTATCACGGTCGGAGAGGTGGATAATGTGGTGGAGTTGGCTACTATACTTGGATCCAGGGTTTCGCGATTGCCTATGACATATCTTGGGCTGCCTTTAGGCGCACAGTTTAAAAGTACACATTTGGAATAGTATTGTAGAAAGGGTGGAGAGAAGGCTAGCAGGGTGGAAACGTATGTACCTCTCAAAGGGAGGCCGTCTTACTTCCATGAGATTGGGTGGTCTCGGATTGAGGAGTCTGGTACTGTTCAATAAAACTTTGTTGGATAAGTGGTTGTAGCGATTCAAAACAGAGAGGGGGAGCTTTTGGAGAGAAATTATAGGAGCAAAATATGGTGTTATGTTGGGAGGATGGTGCTCAGTCAAAAGTCGAGGCTCTTATGGGATAAGTCTGTGGCGGTAAATTAGGCGAGGGTAGAGCGATTTTCGGGAGAGATTGACTTTTGTAGTGGGGAATGGTAATACTATCAATTTCTGGGATGATTGTTGGTATGGATATCAACCGTTAAGGTTGAAATTTCCTTCTTTGTATCGTATTGTGTTTATGTCGTTTGTCATGGTGAATGATGTTTTAGATAAACACAATGGGAGTATCAGTTGGAACATTGCTTTTATACGGGGTTTGCAGGTCTGGGAATTAGATGACTACGCGCTATTTTTGACATCTTTACATGAAGTACAAATCAAGGCAAGAGATAGTGATTGCAGCAGGTGGAGGCCGGCACGGGATGGCATGTTTTCAATCGGCACTTTCTTTAAATCGTTATTAGGATCTGAGAAAAGCTCTTTCCCCTGGAAAGCTATGTGGAAGAGTAAACTGCCACCAAGGGTAGCATTTTTACTATGAACAGTCGTGAGAGGACAGATGCTAACAGCGGAAAACCTATGACCAAGGGGTTTTTATGTTACAGAGTGGTGCTATATGTGTAGGAGATGTGGGAAGACGATTGATCACTTGTTCCTCCATTGTGATGCTGCTAGTCTACTGTGGAATGAGATTTTTGCATCGCAACATATGGATTGGGCAATGCCAAGGCGTATGGAAGATGTGCTGAAGGCATGGAGAAGAAAATTTCAAGATAAGGATAGCAAGTTGGCATGGGAGCTTATTCCGGGTTGCATAGTATGGTGTGTGTGGAAAAAAAAAAAACAGCCGCTGTTTTGACGATCAAATACGAACAACAGAACAACTTAGAGAATTATTTTATTTTACACTGTATACTTAGTTTAATGTGGCGGCTACTAGGCAAATAGATGGGCTACCCAATTTTATTTCGTTTCTTTCGAATTTGTACCGATAATACACTTCCTGTATATTATGGTTTGATTAATAAAATTTCTAATTACCTTTCAAAAAAAAAAAAGTACTACAAAATCTATTAAATAAAACCCTAATTATATTTTATCAAATTCGTAAAGTTTCCTATCACAAGAACAAGATTGAGGGACAAAGAGGAAGAGGAAGAGAAAGAAGAAAGATAGGAGAGAGAATGGAGAGAGTTTAGAGGAAGTAAGTATTTGTTTATTCGAACTAATGGGGAATCATTGTCCTACGATTTGCAATCCATGCTAAAGTCCCAAAAAAACCGCTCTATTGATGAAGTTGGTCGAAAAATGAGGAGATTCCGAGCATGGCAGCGGATCAGCAGCATAGGACTGAAAACAACGATGGAAAGGTGAGGAAAATCCAAGCTTAGGGTGGTGTGAACGTCTCATGACTGTAATTGCAATGATGAAGATGATATTCCAAAACAATAGCAGTGTCGATAGCTCATGACAGTGATGACAGCAGTGCAAAGTTAAGGTACAGTTGAGGTAGTAATTTGGGATGGAAAATGCATGCACTGGGCTATGGATTTTGACTAGGGAAGTTGGTATGGAGAATGTACAGGCAAGCTAGACTGATATGCTATGGTGTATGTTGATTGGGCTAGAGTTGGGATATGTATGTCCGTTTGTATGTTCACTGTAACAACCCAAGCTTCGTATGTTGAATTCATTATATTATACATACTATTTGCTTCAGGTGGACAACTGCCCATTTAACCCCTCACGACTTCCATTGCATCCTCAGGGTTCAAACTCATGACATTTCCCTTAAAAAATAACTTAAGTTGAGATTAAACAATCGAACAAGAACGAAATTGAGAGAGAAAGAAGAGACGAGAAAAAGAATAAAGATAATTTAAAAGATAAAAATATCATCTTATTCAATTCATTAAGTCAAACTATTACGCATAAGCCCCTTCATAGGGTTTAAATTTAAACTAGGCTCATTTAAGTAGGAAAATACTAAGACCTCTATCAAATAAACCCAAATTATACTTCCTAAAACACGCGAATGTGAAAAGTAGACAACTGCATAAATACTAATATTAAATAATATCCCTACTAGATTACCATCAACTAGTCTTAGAATTAATTGATTCTAGTTCTAATTTAAAGTGTTGGTCCTTTTTATTGTGGGAGATACCTTATACATTAACAAATACTTTTGTAATCTCTTTAATTTCAAATTTTAGTGGGTAAAAAAATGTTGGATGTGTTAGCGCCTCAATATTATCTTCCTAGATAAAGGGTATTAGGGGCAAGCCTCCATTCTATGTATCATGTGCTCAGTTCAAAATACATTGTAAAGTTACATCTTAGGTATAGTGCAATTTGATAGCGATACTTAGTGTCATAACTCTAATATTGAGGACAGTTGAGTCTTATTCTTGCTTTCATTTCTTATTTTGTGTTATTAAGTTCTCTTATTTATACGGATTATTTGTTTAATCCATAACATAAATAAGAGATTGTTGGTTGATTTTGCTCAGTCTCTTGAAAAGGACAAGTGCTCTCCTCTTCTCCTTCCCCTCTCCTTTTCTTTTTGGTATACGTCTCTTTTTTTTATATATATATAATAAGAATTGGCTCAATATGCTGCCGAAGCTCTTGAATAAAGATGTGACCAGATCTAAAGATAATAATATCATCCACATATACTAATAAGAAAACGATGACAACAATACTCTTGTGAAAGGATAGAGATGCATCATACTGACTATGGGTAAATGAAAAATCTAATACAGTTTGGCGGAATAAACCATGCTCAAGTGGCCTGTTTGAGAGTGTTCGTTTTAGCATGTATACAGAGTCAACTGAGAGAACACGCATACCAGATGGAAGTTTCATATAAATGTCTTCTTTGAAAACCCTATGTATGAATGCGTTCTTTACATCCACTTAGTGAAAAAACCAAGATTGAAAAGCGGTAAGTGACAACAAGAGGCGATCGGTAGTCATTTTAGTAATGGGAGCAAATGTCTCTTCATAGTCTATTCATATTCCAGACGATTACCCAAGGCAACCAACCGAGTCTTATAGCAGTCAAGAGAACCATCAAACTGAAGTTTCACTAGGTATCCCCATTTACTGCAAATGGGTTTCACAAATTGGGGATAGGGCACAATATCCCAAATTTGGTTGGCTAAAAGTGCCTCGAATTTTGCATTTATCGCTTGTTGTCAGCACTCTTGTTTCATAGCCTACCTATAGGAAGAAAGAATGGTAATTGAATTAAGGTCTATGGAAAGAAAAACTAAACCTATGTGATGGTCAATGAACACAAGAAGAGCGACGGAGAATGATAGAAGATTGATGATCATCTAGTGAAGGATCTGATATCATAGGTGCAGGATCAGGGAGACTTGGAGGGACAAAAATTTTGGAAAAGAAGCTTGAGATTAGAGATATGTACAACTTGCCTGTGAGTGTTATTAGAGGTTATTTAGTTTATTTAGTTTCCATAAATAAAATCAAGGAATTATTTTAGAGATTTCATTCCAATTATATATATTTTATTTCCTTTCTTATAGACATTTGTAATACTATAAAAAGAACGCAATACATATGTGAATGTAATTCAACACAATTGACATGGTACCAGAGCCCTAAATTCCTTTTCTCTCTAAATTCGTAGTCGCTCTCTCAAAGTCTCTTGTGTTTTCGGTTTCCTTTCTAGTTTTTGGTGTTGTCGGTGGTTGGAGCCATGTTCATAGTGGTCGGCGACTGTAGTTAGAAGTCTCTGGTGGTTGCCTCTCATTTTTTGTTTCTGTTGATCGAAGCACCTTCAGTGCAGTGGTGTTTTTCACACCGTCTAAAGTCTACCTTCATGTTTCTGGCGCGCCATGTCTAGTTCTTTTTTGGTCGAAGCATACAATGGTTATTTTCCCGTTGTCTGCATCTGTGTTGGCGATTGATCAGAGCAAGCCATCTCGTTTCTATTGTGAGTTGTTCAATTTAATTAGGCTAGTTGGTTATTGAATTTAATTGGCCTTGATTGTGTAATTGGGCCTTTTTAATTAGAATTGTTAGTTGCTGGGTTTTAATTAATGATGATTTAATTGCATTGGTTTATTGTTGGGCTTGAAGTTTGGATTTGACTAATGAAGTTAATTTAATAATTTTTGGGCTACTATTGATTGGGCTGAGTTATTCGAGGAGAATTGGTTTTTGTTAAAGTTATGATTAATTTATTTGATAGGAGAATACACTTTTTTCATCATGTGTTAGGCTAGAACTACTCTTCATGATCATTTCATTTTCAGTTGTTAGTTGAAGGGAAAGAGGATCTGTGGGACGTATCTCCCACCTCCTTATCAAGAGAAAGATAAAGAGAAGTACCTCGCCTAGAAAACTAAGGATTCCAGGATTATGACTTGGATCATTGGATCCATAGATGCTCAGATTGTTCCTAATCTCAGACCTTACAAGTTTGCTCATGCTATGTAGGAGTTTTTAAAGAAAAGATACAGTCAAAGCAACAATACTCAACAACTTCAGTTGGAATTTGAATTGAAAATTTTTTTTCGAGACTCTCGCTCCATTTAAGAGCTTTATTCTGGATTCTTTAATCTTTGGGCTGAATACACAGATATCATTTATGCTTCAGTCTCACTTGGCAGTTTAGAGGTTGTACAAGCTGTGCATGAAGTCACTAAGAGATCAATTTCTCATGAAATTGCAATCTGATTTTGAATATATCCGATTCAGTCTTAAGAATCGCGAATCTCTTTCAAAGTTGGATGGCTGTTTGGGTAAGTTATTAAGGGATGAGCAACAACTTATAACTCGCGCTTCTTTGGAGCAACAGCAAAATCAAGTGGCATCGATTCCTGTTGCATATGCTGCTCAAATTGAAATTCAGATATCAGGATACGTCTAGTGTGCAATGTTACAATTGTAAAGGGTTTGGTCATATGGCTCTTCAGTGTCCTAAAAAGGTATGCAATTATTGCAAGAAGATCAGACTTGTGATTAAAGAGTGTCCTATCTAACAAATGATTATTTTTGCTTTGTTTGCCTTTGGAGTCTTACGTAATCCGTGAACTGATACTTCTTATTGGTTATTACACTCAGGTGCTTCTAATCATATAACTCACAATCTTTTGTTGCTTAGTAACCTTAAACCCTGGACATCATTAAATTATACGAGTGACAAAGGCTTACATGAGTTATACATGGAAACCCATAATTAACGTTGAAAACTCTAATATTTTCTTCTCCATTTCGTACTTCCTGTCCATTATATTGAGAACTAATATTCTTATATTTTATCACTGACAAACAGCCTTAAAGTTTTGCATGATCAGCTAAGTCTGTGATTTGAATATCCTGCTACTTTTGCTGTGCAGCAATTCTACATCCCAAAGGTTTTCAGCAGATAACATCTAGTATGATAGTAAAAGAAAGAGATCAAACACTGAGTGAAAAGGCCTATAAGATTCTCGGGTTGAAGAGCCTGTGATGCTATATTTGAGTTCTGCGGTAGTATATATGTATAAAGCTCTTGTTTGGGCTCCATTTTAATTTTAATACATTTTTCTCTTTCTTCTTTTCAACAACACATTCTTAAATAAAATAATATTACATGTAAACCCAAAACTTTTCCTTGAATTTTAACCACACATTATTCAAAAAATCATTATTCCAAGATACATTTTCTCCCAAAATCACATTAAAATGGAGCCCAAACAGAGGCAAAGACCAAAAGACACCATTAAAAGATTTATATGCACATCATACTGGTGCTGCAGTAATTAACAACAAAAAACTGGTTTAAATACCTGGTTGTAGTGTAGATCTAATCATGGTACGCTATTGGACGAAAGGTGAAGGAAAATTTGAAGAGAACGCAAAAGAACTTGGTAAAGTTCAAGCATAATTTGAAGCTTTCTAATATTTATTACCAAGAAGGATCTTCAATATATTTATTTTGGAAAAGGCAAAAACATACCTGCATCAATAGCAACATCATGATATCCACGACCAATTATTGCAAGCATCCGGAGAAAATAATGGTTACAGAATGAACCTGAAATGTTATAAATTACTAGTCAAATACAGTGTAAAAGAGGCCCTGCAGTCAAACTAATATAATACACGATGAAGATAACAAGTGGCACTCTAAGACAGGAAATGCAAGACATTAAAGTGATGCACCGCGCAATGGATTCAAATTCTCACAAAAAATCACTCATTGAAAAAAAAAAAAAGTGTCAAATTGGCCATCATACATAGGCATCTGCAACCTAAGACGGAAGCAATCATTGCCGTTCTTGTCATTGTAAAGAAAAGTGGAGTTCTTTGTGCTGACATTCGCAATTGGTTTATTCTATATTAAGCCTTTATTACTAATTCTGACAAATAGTTGTGCTTTGTTTCCATAGGAAAACACTTTTTTTCTGACAGCAGTTAGAGATCATGTTCTAACAGCTGATAACAATCAAGGAAGAAAATCTCCCTAAGCTGGTCTTCCATACTCAGGCAGAAACAGAAGTTACATAAGATTTGGTTGTATGGAAGAAGAATAGTAGAAATTACTAAGTTGCTATGTGCTAAGAAGCTGAAAATCAACATTCCTTTTTATGCTTTTGGAGATCACAGTCCATTCCCATTTCTGTTAACAATTGTATGAATTTTCAAAATTCTTGATAAGTCCTATATTTGTTTGCATATGTCATTTCTTGTATGTGCTTATTTTTTGATTCAACAAATTTTTTAAACATTACAAAGATATTAGTAATACCAAAAATCTTACCTATGCCCAATGTGTATATTCGTGGATAAACTTTACTCTGATTTGTTAATCGACTTTTCATAGAATCACAAATATGTCTCTCATCTTCAACAGACCCATCAGTAATGAGGAAAATGATAGGGATGGAATTGCTACTATTAGATAACATTCCAATGGCCTGACAACAGAAAAGCAATTATGTTAGAGTTGTCATAGATAACTTCCACTTGTGCAACTAAAATAAAAAAATAAAAATGGTTGTAACTCAACAAACGATTGGCTGATCAATCAATTAAAGTTAAAACAACTGAACTTAAAACATCCACATTTTTTTAAGACTATTTGACTCCATCCCAGAAGCATCAGACATGCACATTTCATTTGCCTGCTCGATGTAGGGCCAAAACTAGAAGGAGAATAGAAGTGAACATTGTCCAAGCAACTCTTAGAAATCTAGGATGACCAAGAATGCAGAGATCAAGCCAGGAGGCACTACAACTCTCTAGTCTGTATAAGCAATTGAGGAAACCATCAAGCAATTAAGATTATACATCTCTGGTCACAACAACATTGGACCTCCAAGTATAACATCTAGGTCTATACAGTGCTGAAGGGAAAACTAAATCAGTTTCTTTCGTATGTGAGTTGCACTTCAATTTTGTAAACATGTCAGCTCCTACAAATTGATTCCATGTGTAAACTACATTATCATTAAGATCACTTTCGTTTCCAAAATAACTTGAAATTTAATCGATATAAAATATGATGCTTGATTGTCATCAAGCACATGCATAGGTAACAAAGAAGATCTTCTCAAATTACAGGACCATGCAATTAAACCTGATTCAAAGGAAGCAAGATATTTGTGCCACCTCCAGCGATGAAGTTCAAGTTAATCCACTGAGTGACATTCTCAATTGCTTCCACAGTTGCCGGTGTCAAAGATGAGGAAAATAGGTAGGTTTCATCATTGAATGCTATTACACCAAACAAATCTTCTGGATCAAGCTTTGAGAGAGCTGCAACCAGGGCATTTTTGGTGTCATCAATAGGTTTTCCCCTCATGCTTCCACTTATATCGACAACAAATACCAGTTCCTTTCTGAAAATCTATACAACATGAAAAGGAAACCACCATTACTCTTGGAAACACAATGTTAAATGCCGATCAGTGATAACAAAGAAACAGAAACAAGTTAAGCTTTATTGCTTTAAGAATATCACAGATAATAGTGAATCTTCGATGAGAACAGTGAGTGCTGTGATAACCTTTTTTTTTTCCAAGAATGCATGCAGGAAATCAAATGCAGGCATTTGCTCCATTTTCATGCTTTCATTTGGCTAGACAATGATTTAGATAAGATTATCACAGCATTCACTGTTCTCATTGAAGATTCACAAGTATTCTGTAATTATTTACAGGTATTTATCTGTCAGTTATAATTTTGTCATTTCATCATTATCCTCCATAGTATGTAAACATTTTTCTCGCTTGATCTCATTGACCTGTTATCTTCATAAACAAATTGAAAATATTTTTTGAGTTGGGGAGTATGACTCCTGTAATGTACCTTTATACATTAAGGATTATCATATGTACAATAACACTTACGTGATAACAAACTTTTTATTAAGACAAAAAACTTGTGACGTCACACTGCATGTATAATTCTTTGCAAAGAGCCTTCGGATTACATGACAATAATGTATGGTAAATTGGTAACAAGCATCAAGCCACTATATTTTATGGGCCACGTTTCACCACTTCCTTTGGTTAGCCTGATACATTTATAACAACAGATATGAGTCACCACTACATCATGATTAATAAAGTTTTTTTTCAAGAATCAACATGTAGGTAAGTGCAGGCAAACAACTACAGTGGAATTCTTTTCCTTTGCTTTCCATCAATAGCAATTGACTTCCACAAAGATTTATAATTTGCAAGACAAACTTGAAATAATTCGGTGTTTAATTCACCTTTCCATTCAGCTGGTCCCCTGGAAATAGATAGCAGCAGAACATATCCCTTTGGTCAACGTCAAGCAATGATGGAGAATTCAAAAGCACGCTGCCAACAGTATAACTTGAAAATATCTGAAACATGCAAATCAGTTTAGAACATAATTTCCTTTCTCTACTTCAGAAATGCATCACAACACATAAGGGTATTTATCTAGAATAACTAACTAACAATTGATTTTATTAGTTACTGTTGAACCGAGTTATTCTTATGCTTATCCTATCTTAGGATTACATGCTTTGTTTATTTTTGAATTTAAATAAGGATTATGTGAGAATTAAATCGATAGAAATATCATCTTATCACAAAAGATGATCTTATCCCCATAAGATTTGTTCTTTCTGTTTTTCAGCTCCTATTTACTAGAGTTAATCTCTGTAATTACCCTTATTTAAAGGAGTGTCATTATTGTATACAATATACAGTTGAATCTCAATTATTCAACATGGTATCAGAGTGTAATAGGGATTAGTGTTATTCCCCCCTTCATCTCCAATGGCAGATTCTGGATCTGTATATTCTATTGGTACAGAATCTGTAGCTTCCTTTCAAACTAACAGCAATCCTTCTCCTTCCTCTACCCCAAAAAAAATCCTCTTTACGAATAACCCAACATAAACTAGATGGCTGATTGGTTTCAGTCCATTGTCATGGTGACATAAGGCAAAGGAAAAATTGGGTATCTTACTGGGTCTATACCAGGGCCTGTGGCAAGTGACAGAAATTATGCCATATGGGAAGCAGACAAATCTATGGTGATGGCATGGTTGGTCAACTCGATGGACAAAAAGATTGGGAGGAATTATTTATCGTACAAGATGGCTAAGGATATATGGGAGACCGTTAAATACATGTATTCTGATTTAGGTAATTCTACCCAACAGTTTGAGCTCAAGTCTGTCGTGAAAGGTTTGCAAGCAAGGTGAATCCTCTATTACGAATTGCTACAATACATTAACTGGCTTATGGCAAGAGCTGGACTTGATCCAGGATGTCTCCAAATTCTGTCAAACTTGCAGCAAGAACTATCAGGTAGACCTTAAAATTGAACGTGTCTTCGATTTTTTACATGGTTTGAATAAGGAATTGGATGAAGTGAAAGGACGTATTCTTGGTGCTAAACCTCTCTTGAGCCTAAGAGAAGATTTTGCTGAAGTTAGGTGAGAAGAAAGTCGGAGGAGAGTCATGTTAGGCGGAAACAAGGAGACTGAGGTTAGAACAGATATTCGAAGCCTTAGCTTTGACAGTGAATTGGAATAAGCAGAACTTAGGAGTTTCAAAAAATAATTCTGGAGAAAATCGAGCACAGAATACATGGTGTGACCAATGTCATCAGTCCAACCACAACCGTGAAATGTGCTGGAAGCTCCATGGAAAGCCTTCCAATTGGAAGCCATGCAGTCAGACCAAATCCAGAGGGTACCAAGCAACCTCGACTGATCTAGCCAAGAACAGCAATTAATTTTCAGCCACGGACAAATAGCTAAAATTCAAAAATTACTTCAGCAAAGCCAATCTAATCTTAACCAGAGTAACTCTCAATCCCCCTTGCATCCGTTTTGCAACATTGCTCAGAAAGGTAGTTTCTTCCTTGCACTGAACACACGGATTAATAATAGTGATGAATGGATTATAGACTTAGGAGCATCTGATCACATGACAAGAAATTCAAATTTTTTTTCCTTAGTATATTCCTTGCCCTGGTATACTTAAAATCAGAATTGCTGATGGCTCCCTGTCTTCAGTTGCAGGGAAAGGAAATATTGTGGTTTCCCCAACTGTTACCCTTTATTCAGTAATGCATGTTCCTAATCTCTCATGTAACCTAATTTCAGTTAGCAAAATGACAAGTGAACTAAATTGCAAAGCTAATTTCTCCTCTCATCTTTGTGAATTTCAGGATTTGCATTCAGGGAAGATAATTGGCAGTGCTACAAGAAATAATGCGTGGTACTATCTTTCAGTTGATCAGCAACATGAAGAAAAAGAAGTTCAAGCCTACCTAAATGTCGAGAAGTCAGTTATGTTCTGGAGTTCCTTTTCAAGTTTAATTCCTAGTAGAATATTATGGCATCCTAGCTTTTCTTATCTGAAAAAGTTGTTTCCAAATTTATTTCTCAATAAAAATGCAAATTTATTTCAATGTGATGCATGACAACTTGCAAAACACACCGAGAGTTCTTATCCTAAACAGCCATATAGAGAGTCTCTATCATTTTCTATGTTTCATAATGATATCTGGGGACCAATAAAATCAAAAAGAACTTGTTGGGTATTATTGGTGCTAGATAGTTTATCACTTTCATTGATGACCATACTAGAGTTTGTTGGGTATTCCTTTTAAAAGGAAAATCTGAAACGGTACAAATTTTTTAGAACTCAATTCCAAACTCAAATTCGAATCCTACATATAGATATTAGCCGAGAATACTTTGACCAAATCCTAGGAGTATACCTTAGTAATCATGGACTTGTTCATCAAAGCACATGTGTAGGCACCTCCCAACAAAATGGTATTGCTAAACGAAAAAATAAACATCTTCTAGAAGTTGTTAAGGCTTATTTACTAATAATGTGCCAAAGAGTTTCTAGTAGAAGCTGTCCTTACAGCCTCATATGTCATAAATCGGCTTCCATCTAGTGTCCTTAGTTTAAAACTCCACTCCAAACACTTCTCCAGTTTTCCCACACAATAGCCTTTTCAAAATCTCCCAGTTAAAGTCTTTGGATACACAGTCTTTGTTCATTCCTTGCCGAAAACTAAGCCAGATCCTCGAGCAATAAAATGCATTTTCTTGGGCGACTCACCATGTCAAAAATGTTTTAAGTGTTTGCCCTAAAACTAGGAAGCTTTTCATTACAGAGGATGTCACCTTTTTGAAGATACCCATACTACCATAGTTAAATTCAGGGGGAGAGTTCTGGTGAGATTGAACTATGGGATTTTTCACCTTTTAGTGATCATGCAACTATTCCAAGTACAAGTGCAGATGGTACTATCCTTCCAGTCCATCCTGAAACCGTAATTGATGCTACCATTACTGTTGATCATCATGTATCTGCACAGCCATTATTTGATAACAAGGAAGAAAGATCACAACAAGATCGTGACTTATTAACATACTCAAGGAGAATGCAGGAGGACAAAGTAGTACAACCAATTATAACTCAACAGCATTGTCAAGAATCTACTTAAAAATACAGATCCTGCTCCACTTGAGATTACCGTGTCACAACAACAACAGCAGCCTCAATCAGACACTACTAGGCTACCTATTGCAATTAGATAGGGGGCTCCCTCATGTAGTAAACATCCTTTACAACAGTTTATGTCATTTGGGAATTTGTCTCAAACATATAAAGCCTTCAGCGTTCAGATTTCTAACGAGAATATTCCAGCAAGTATTTCAGAAGCCCTTGCAAGTCATGAATGTAGGAAGGCTGTTTTTGATGAATTTCATGTATTGAAGAAAAGTAATACATGGGATATTTCACAGCTCCCGAAAGGAAAAATCCCTGTAGGACGCAAGTATGTATTCAATCTCAAATATAAAGCCAATGGGAGCATAGATAGGTACAAAGCGAGACTTGTTGCAAACGGTTTTACTCAAACCTTTAGAATTGACTACAATGAGACGTTCGCTCTTGTAGCCAAACTAAATACCATCTGAGTATTGATATCAGTTGTTGTCAGTTTAGATTGGCCACTTTGTCAGTTAGATGTAATGAATGCCTACTTGAATGGGGAGTTAGATGAGGAAGTTTATATGGTGGCACCACAAGGATACATTGAAAACTGAAAAAAAATCTCTTTATAGGCTAAAGCAACATCCTCAAGCTTGGTTTGTTTGTTTAAGCTGTAAAGAAAGTTAGTTGTTTACAAGCTCAAGCGGATCATACACTATTTTTTAGATATTTTGGGAATGAAAAAATAGCTATCTTAATAGCGTATATGGGTGATATAATTCTCACAAGAGATGATCTAGAATGACTAAATTATTTAAAATCTTTTTCATCAAAGGAGTTTGAGATCAAGGATTTGGTTCAGCTGCGTTATTTCTTAGTAATGGAAGTAGCAAGAAGTAAGAATGTAATTGTTATCTCGCAATGAAAATACACCAAATCTTCTCAAAGAAACCAGTATGTTGGGGTGCAAACCATTGGAAACTCCAGTAGAAGTCAATGCTCGAATCGGAAAAGAGGAAGGAGAAACAGTAGACAGGGGAAGATACCAAAGGTTAGTAGGAAAGCTGATCTACTTCTCACATACTCGGCCTAACATAGCATTTGCTGTTAGCATGGTAAGTCAATACATGCATAGCCTTTTCCAAAAACAGATGGATGCAATGTATAGAATTCTCCATTATTTGAAGTCTTCTCCACGAAAGGGTATATATTTTAAAAAACTAAGAAACGATGTGTTGAAGCTTACTCTAATGCAAACTGGGCTGATCCATAGAAGATAGAAAATCAAAGCTTACTCTAATGCAAACTGGGCTGATCCATAGAAGATAGAAAATCAACCATGGGCTATTATATCTTTATTTCGGAAAATTTGGTGACTTGGAGGAAAAAAAAAAAAAAAAAGGAATGTTGTGGCAAGGAGTTGTGCTGAAGCTGAGCTCAAAGCACTTACATAAGGTACATGTGAGATGATTTGGGTACAAAGACCAGTGGAAGAATTGAAACAATTAAGTGTTAAGCCAATGAAGATCTTCTGTGATAACAATGCTGCACTAAGTATTGCACATAATCCTGTCCATCACGATTGTACAAAGCATGTGGAGATTCATAAACATTTTATGTAGGAGAAGATTGACAATAAGGAAATTTGCATGATTTTTGTACTATCAAGGCAGCAAGTGGTTGACTTATTTAAAAAAGGGGTCACTAAACAGATCTTCTAAGATGTCTTAGACAAGCTTGGGATGATAGACATCTTTCTCCCAGCTTGAGGGGGAGTGTTGAACCGAGTTATTCTTATGCTTATCCTAACTTAGGATTATATGCTTTGTTTATTTTTGAATTTAGATAAGGATTAAGTGAGATTTAGATTGATAGAAATCTCATCTTATCATATAAGATGATCTTATCCCATAATATTTGTTCTCTCCGTTTTTCAGCTCCTATTTTCCAGGAGTTAATCTCTATAATTTCTCCTATTTAAAGAAGTGTCATTACTGAATACAATATACAATCGAATCCCAATTATTCAACAGTTACACGGAAAACTCAGAGTAGGGCATGATCTATTATTCAATGGAATAGCAGCAATGTCAATTGATGCGCATATAGATAGAATCATACTTTATATGTAAAGAAGAAGTCACTGCTTGACCAAGTAAGAACTTCAGATTCATATGAGAAAGCCAACTTTCCTGCTTGCCGCTGTAGCTCCTAGTTCAATCATATAAACTGCAATTAGATCATTTTTATACAACTAGATTATATAATTAGTAGAACCCAAAAAAATAAATAAGTAAATTCCACCTTTAAAGGATGACTACATGTCTTACTCAAAACTTCAGTTCCAGGAGCAGCGTTCACATTAAGCTGTATCTTTTCCCTTTTGGAAATTTTCTTTCCGGCAGGCGTTACATATTTAGGGAAGTTAAATGGAATTTTCAAGGTCAGCTGTCCATTGGAATACAGCAATTTTTGAGACCAGCTAAATTGAACCGAAAGATTGGTTCCTCCGTCGACCTGGGAGAAAAGGGGCATATTAGTTTACCAACGAAGATGAAGTTCCACCAAATGCCATAGTAGGTTCACCACCTGCGGGATTGTCAGAGTGAATATATGGGGTTTCAAAAAGCCTCCATCTTCAATATTTGCCATCTTGCCTGTATCTCTTTCATTGTCCAGAGCAATCAGTTGAGTACTATATGATTTCCTGGGAACCTCGACCTTGACACCTAGAATTGAACCCTGTTAGCAAATAATACAACGTTTGAGAACAAAAAAATAAAATAAGCACTAAGTTCGTCTCATGAAACATGGGAAAAGTATAAAAGGAAAGCTTTCTTTTAGACATTATTATTAAACCTCTAATGGAACTGAAATTTCGACCGCAATCATTGGAGCAAAGGAATATTTTCTAGTTATTGTAAAAAAAACATCATCAACAATTTTATTTTAAAGTTTCAGATTTTTCTTTTTACCAAAAACATAGGTCAACTCTTTGGTTTTAACTCAAGGCCCTTCAACAATATTAACATATCTTGCTCTTTGAGAAGTTTATTTACTGTCATTTTGTTCTCCTGTCATCATCTGCTTTTCCTTATTTTAAAGTAGTATTGGGAGAAATTGAAAGAAATTATAGTCTGGGAACATAATCTCTATCATATATTATTACCATTCATTAAAATCAAATGTTTTTTGATTTTTGGGTGTTTTTGTTCGCAGTCATGGCTACGGGTTTCTCAGCAGCTTCATACAGCCAGCCAAGTAGTCGTGGGAGCTGTACTGGGATATGCTTTCTCCGTTTTATGGTTCTATTCATGGAAAGTTTTTGTACTAAAGGCATTTATATCCTATCTGTGGGTTAGAATTATTGTTGTTCTGGGTGCTATCGGATTTGCTGTAGGATTTATTCGACATGTTTACCTGACCTGGCTTCGAGATGAAAACTGAATTTATATTCTCAGAAAGTATTATGGCAACAATCGTTCTCTTTTGTCCTGCAGAATTCCGTTTAATCTGGATGATATTTGACCATTGAAATTCATGACCATTGTGTTCTTATTTGTAATCATTGTTGAACCCCACTTGACATGCACAAGATGGAATGTGAATTCTTCGAGATCCTTCCATTCTTCAAACAGAAAATGACAAATAGATTCAAACTGATTCTAGAATGTCTTTTTGAATATTGAATAAAGCTGCAGAACCAAAGGTTCCAATCCTGCCACCTCAGCCCCTGATTTTGAATGGGGCGGGCCCCATGAATTAAAGATCAAGGGTCGAGGAAATTGCCGCCTCGTAGGGATGGCAATCGGGCTCGCTGGCTCGGGCTGCCCGTGGCTCGGCTCGAGGCTCGGTAGCCCGAGCCTAGGTTCGGGCCAAGCCCCATTTCGGGGACACGGGCTTTGCCCGAGCCGGCCCGTGAGTTCGCGAGCTTTTTAATAAAAGAAAAAAAAAATTAAATTGAAGCCTTAAAAGGCAACAAATCTGCTGCCTTAAAAGGCAGCAGATTAGAAGAAGAACCCACAAAAAACAAAAAAAAAGGTGGAGAAAACGAGCCTGCCCGGCTCGGCCCGTAAAAAGCCCGAGCAAAAGCTCGGGCCGAGCCTTTTTTTTTTTGGCCGAGCTTTTGCTCGGCTCGAGCCCGCAAAAAAGCTCGGTCACTTTAACCGGGCTGAGCCCGAGCCGAAACTTTAGGCTCGCGAGCCGGCTCGGCCCGGCTCGTTTACATCCCTAGCTCAGCTCAAGCCACGAGCCGAGCCCACGAACCATTCGTGAGCTCTTTTTTTTTTCACATTTTTTGCACCTTTTTAAAAAAATTTCAATTTTTTGGACGAGCCGACGAATCGCTCGACCCATTTGACATCCCTATCAGTACGCCATTTGGGCAAATGACTTTTTTTTTTTTAATCCCGTTTCACCCTATTCTCTTTCTCATTCTTTTTTCCTCTTACTTTTAACCACACAATCATTCACAAAATAATATTATATATACGCAAATCGAAAACTTTTCATTAATTTTTCAACCACACAATTTAAAAAAAAAAATACTATTCCAACAATTAAAATTTGAAAGAATGGGGACCAAACAGTTAAACCCCTATTTGAGCCCCATTTTTTTATAAGAAAATGTGTTTTGAAATAGTAATTTTTTAGAGAATATATGATTTAAAAAATAAAGAATTTTTCTTATTTATATGTGAAATTATTTTAAGAGAATATGTGGTTGAAAATGAATTTTTAAAAAAGGAAATACAAAAAGATCAATTTTTTGATCGTTATTTTACTATTTCAGCCATCATTTTTTACTTCTTCACTCACAGATAAGATCCATTTTCTTTCTAACAATCAAAAAATCAATTCTCATAACACTATCAAACATGCCCTAAATTAACTTATAAGATTCGGATAAAATTAATTTATTTAAGAAATATATATTATTTTGAGAATTTGAAGAGATTTACAAAAATAAATAATATTGTCTAAAAATAAAAATTTTCAATGAGTAAATTGTGAATAATTTTAAGAATAAAGTTACTCTTACAAAGTAGCTTTACAAAAGTGAAGATACCAATGTGTTGGCAAAATGTAGGCCATTGATTTGAAATGATTTAAAAATTTATTTTTGAAATGACTGGTGTGACTATTATTTTGTAACCTAACTTTGTAACTTAGTTTTGTAAGTGTGGCGTGACTCTAATTTTAGTATGTACAACTCTGTATATTATGTCAGGTGCGAAACCAAGAAGCAAATAGAGACATAGGCAATCTAGTTAGAAGTGTCCAAATGTTGTTATTCGGACCTGTTAGTCTAGTTGTCTTACAGCTGGGTCCAAGCGATCCAATTTTTGGTAAAAGAGAAAAGGCAAAATTTATTTTGAATGAAAATTATTTAGCCATGGTGATTCCATTTCTAATACACGTATGACCAACTCTTATCTGGACGATGAGCCTATTTGAGTCATATTATTTCAAAAAAATGTATTCTTAAATAGTGATTGGACATCATTTCAACCACACTTTCTTCAATAAAATAATATTACACGCAAATAAAAAAATTTCTTATTTTTTAACCACACATTTCTCATCAATACACTATTCAAGAATGCATTATTACTAAAATAATGTGGCTAAAACACTCCCGATATGTTATTCATTCATAGGAAAATATGCATGCAATATTTATAGTAATATATTGAATTATTTTCATNTCCGTTCCAATTTTAAAAACATTGGATTTAATAATATATGTAATGTTAACATTTGAAGTATTTCTATTTTATATCATGGGCATAAATTCTAGAATTTGTTACAAATGAATGTAAATAATGTAACCGAATAATGTTCTTAATCGTGTTTATGTTGATGATTTAGAATTTCAACAGTCATTATTCAAATAATTAGTTACTTATTATTCAATTTTAATGAACAAAAAAATATCATTAACTATTTCTTTAAGGGTAATGAATATGATTTTATTTCTGTGATTATTCAATTTCTTTAAAAATTGTTGACCTTGATTTTCCCTTGATGTCATATGATGTTCATTCTCATTGCAAGTATTTTCAGTTTTTTCTTATTTCAATGAAGGAAATTCAAGACAAGAACACACGTTCAATAATGATTTAAAAAATATTATTGCATACTGTTCTTTTTTGGGAAAAAAATATATTTTATATAATTTCTTTTAATTTTATGTGATAATATTTTTATTAAATAAGTATTAATAATTGTGTTTAGTGGAAACTAATTGACTTAATTTTTGAAAGCAATAATAATTATTAATTATCTTATTTAGGGGAAATAAATTGAATCATTTGGTATTCTGTAGTTATTTATACATGTAGTATTATTATTTCTTTTAATTGTATGTAATAATGTTTTTATTAATTGTGTACTGATAATTGTCTTTAATGGAAATTAATTGATTTAATTTTCAAAAGCAATAATAATTATTAATTATCTTATCTAGAGGAATAAATTGAACCATTTGGTATTTCATTTTTATCTAAATTTAGATATACGCATTATTAATTGTCAATCAAAACAAGTTTTAAATAAGGGTAAATAATAAATATAGCATATTAATGCAACCTTTCATTTTTTTATATATATATTTTCTTTTTGAAAACCAAATGAGAGTATATTGAACATATAGATAAATATATAATAGTATAATTGGTATTCAAAAGTATCTTATCAATCCACACTTTTAATAAATTGTAGATTGAAGATGTTATATCGCATGAAAAAAGATTTAATTTAATTTTTGACCCCACAATGAAAAATGTGTGACTCTGTTACTACTTAATGATTAGGTTGGCTAGGTCTAATCATGAGAAAAAAATTGAAAAATTTTAGTAGTAGTGTTTGTTTGAGCCATTTTTTTGACCACCTATTAATCTACATATTATGCCCCTATTTGATTCTCATTCTTTAGTCACGAAAATAAAAAATATAACCGTTAACTATCACAAAGTCACCATATTTGATTTTTTATTTTTTATGTGGATCTCGTAACGACTATATGTTTTATTGTCATTCTCACAAAAAATGAGTACCAAATGAGGCATAAATAAATAATTATATAGGTGTTGTTTAGCATTTGGTTCAAGAATAGTGGACTCTATGTTTTAGCCTTGGAACTCTAACTACGATGGCATGAATAGTGCTTCAATTTCTCTACCAGATCATTGCAATTGCTCCATTAAACTCTGCTTCAAAAATTCAGCCTTATTTTCTCTTGTTTTCCTTATTACGTAGCATTCATGAAGTTGATTTTAAATAGATATTGTAGTTGACTGTAAACTCTTTCATTTGAAGATATACCTAAACCATTTTTTCATATAGCCCGTTTGGCTTCCATTAAATTAAATATCATTTTTTTATATGTTATTTTCAATCACACAAACTTTCATAAATTAAAATTACACGTAAGTCGAAAACTTTTCCTTCTTTTTTAACCATTCATTCTTCAAAAAAAAAAAAAATTCATCCATTTTAATTCGAAAAATGGAGGCCAAACGGGGCATATTCTCTTCCGCTTAGTGGATGCATTTCTATCTTGTTTTCTTTCTCTGCAATTTTCGTACTATAAAAAAGAATTTGGAACTAGTTCAAAATTCTTATTTTGAGAATAAAATAAAGTTAGAATTTTTCTGACCTTCCTCACTAAAGATTCGATCCAAGTCTCCGACACTCTTTCTTCATTCCCTCCTTTTTCTCTCTCTTTCCCTTGTTTCTTTTGTCTCTCTCACCCATC